TGTATCATAGTTGTAATTATAAAATGCTGAATAAAAATCTCACACATTGAAATATAAAATAAACACCCACGAGGGAAAGTTTTACAATTTGGACTTGTTCCATTAAAAGTCAACAAACTTGAGAGTATTGTATAAAAAAGTAAAACGTCGACCAAATAAAAAAATTTAAAATATAAAGAATGTGCCTTATGATGAAATCTGTTTTTGAGTTTCTTTTGGTAAGGGATGACAAAAAAGTACCTTTACATATGTGTGTGCTTGTATAAAAACAAAAGTTATAAAATTTGTGTGGTGATTAGTGACCGTTAATCGATAATTATTCTGAAATCGTGAGATGCGATTCAGATCTCACGATTTCTGAATAGTTATAAAATATGCTGAATAAGAAGAATCTCCCAGTGTACATTGAATATAAATTAAAAATAAATAATAATGATTTTATAATAAAATGAACAGCCATGGAGTAAAACTTTAAGATTTGGACTTGTTCATTTAAAAACAAACGATGGATTTGAACATGGATAAAAATGTAAAAACATTGACCAAATATAAAAAAAAAGTAATTAAATAAAAATAGATTAAGACTTTGTTGTTGAGCTTCTTTTAATAAGTTATGCCACAGTTGTATCAAATGTGTTTTTTTAGTAAGCGATTGCTTGATCAAACCCATCTGTGTGCTTCCATAAAAATATAGTTATAAAAATATGCTAAATAATAAGATCTCCCAGTGTACATTGAAATCTACATTAAAAATAAACAAACAATATTGATTTTATAATAAAATGAATACCCATGAGGGAAAACTTTACGATTTGAACTTGTTCCATTAAAGCAGTAGACGAACTTGAGAGTGTTGGATAAAAGAGCAAAAACACGGCCAAATTAAAAAAAAAATAATAATAATAATTAAATTTAAAAAAACTTAATAAGATTAAAGCATTGTTCTTGAGCTGGTTTTAGTAAAGTCTGACATTAAGTTATGACATTATTAGTCAGTGATTTGACTAATTTTGACTGGTTTTAAAAATAATCGATCAAATTACACCTCCACATTGCACCATGTGGCCGCAAATTCATTTCCAATAAAACTAAATGGGTAAAAAGGCTGATTACCGCAAACACAAAATAATTTGGGATCTGTTTTCGGTTAAGTTTTAGGTCTCGCGAAGTTAAGGATGACTAGTTAGTGATTTTGTAATAAAATGGGCAATCATTGAAGAAAAACACTAAAATTTGGACTTGTTTGATTGAAAATAGTCAAAATAATCAAATGTACCTGAAACTGCGGGATAAAAAATATCGCCTAAATTTTACAAAAAGAAAGAAAGAACTTGCCTTAAGATTAATACATTGTTCTTGAGCTGGTTTTAAAAAAGTCTGAATTATTCCAATTTCCTATTGGACATTTTTAAAGTATATACTAGTGCATCTTAGTTTTAATTAATAAATGCTGAATAAGAATCTCAAAATGAACATTGAAATAAAAATTCAAAAACAAAAAGAACAACCAGAGGGAAAACTTTACGATTTGGACCTGTTCCATTAAAATAAAGTCGACGAACTTGAGTGTTGTACAAAACAAAGTAAAACAGATCAAATAAATAATTTTATAAAAAATAATAAATAAATAATAATAAAAATTTGTTTGTTTTTTTTAGCAAGGTATGCCACAGTTGTTATCATCCCTTTACCTATGGGTGTGGTTGCATAAAAACAAAAGTTATAAAATATGCTGAATAACAAGAATATCCCAGCTTATGTTTAAATCTAAAATAAAAATCAACGAATTACAGTGATTTTGTAATAAAATGAACAACCATGGGGAAAAACTTCACGATTTGTACTTGTGCCATTAAAATAAAGTCGGCGAACTTGAAAGTGTTGTATGTAAAAGTAAAAGTTTGGCACAATAAAAAATTTAAAAAAAAAATTAAGAATGTCAGTTAAGATTAAAAATTCATTGTTGAGATTCTTTAAGTGTGGGATGACATAGTTGTATCATAAAAACAAAAATTATAAAATATGCTGAATAAGAAGAATCTCCCTGTGTACATCGAAATATAAATTAAAATTAAATAATTATTCAGAAATCATGAGATGCGGTCTGGTGTCTACACCAAACCGCATCTCACGATTTCTGAATAATTATCGATTAATGGTCACTAAACACCACACATTAAAATTAAAGCAATAATAGTGATGTTAGTATAAAATGGACACCCATGGGCAAAAACTTTACAATTTGGATTTGTTCCATTAAAGTAAAGTCGACGAACTTCAGTGTTGTATAAAACAGTAAAATTTTGGCCAAATAAAAAAATTTTAAAAAAATTAAGAATGTCAGTTAAGATTAAAAATTCATTGTTGAGTTTCTTTAAGTATGGGATGACATAGTTGTATCATAAAAATAAAAATTGGAAAATATGCAGAATAAGAAGAATCTCCTTGTGTAAACTGAAATCTAAATTAAAAATCAACGAATTAGAGTGATTTTGTAATAAAATGAACAACCATGGGAAAACATTACGATTTGGACTTGTTCCATTAAAGTAAAGTGGACGAACTTGAGAGTGTTGTATATAAAAGTAAAATTTTGGCCAAATAAAAAAAAATTAAGAATGTTCAAGATGGAAAGTTCATGTTGAGTTTCTTTAAGTATGAGATGACATATTTGTATCATAAAAATAAAAAATGTAAAATATGCAGTATAAGAAGAATCACCCAGTGTAAACTGAAATCTAAATTCAAAATCAACAAATTACAGTGATTTTGTAATAAAATGAACAACCATGGGGAAAAACTTCACAATTTGGACTTGTTCTATTAAAATAACGTCGACGAACTTGAGAGTGTTGTATGTAAAAGTAAAAGTTTGGCCCAATAAAAATTTTATTTTAAAAATTAAGAATGTCAGTTAAGATTAAAAATTCATTGTTGAGTTTCTTTAAGTATGGGATGACATAGTTGCATCATAAAAACAAAAATTGGAAAATATGCAGAATAAGAAGAATCACCCAGTGTACACTGAAATCTAAATTCAAAATCAACAAATTACAGTGATTTTGTAATAAAATGAGCAACAATGGCGAAAATCTTCACGATTTGGACTTGATCCATTAAAATAAAGTTGACGAACTTGAGTATTGTATAAAAAAGAAAAAATTTGGCCAAATAAAAAAAAATTAAGAATGTCTCTTAAGATGAAAAGTTCATTGTTGTGATTCTTTAAGTATGGGATGACATAGTTGTATCATAAAAACAAAAGTTATAAAATATGCTGAATAAGAAGAATCTCCCTGTTTACATGGAAATATAAATTAAAATTAAATCATTATTATTTATGGCGAAAATCTTCACGATTTGGACTTGATCCATTAAAATAAAGTCGACGAACTTGAGAGTGTTGTATATAAAAGTAAAATTTTTGACAAATAAAAAAAAATTAAGAATGTCAGTTAAGATTAAAATTTCTTGTTGTGATTCTTTAAGTATGGGATGACAGTTGTATCATAAAAACAAAAATTGGAAAATATGCTGAATAAGAAGAACTGTGTCTACACCAGATCGCATCTCACGATTTCTGAATAATTATCGATTAACGGTCACTAATCACCACACATTAAAATTAAAGCAATAATAGTGATGTTGGTATAAAATGGACACCCATGGGCAAAAATTTTACGATTTGGATTTGTTTCATTAAAGTAAAGTCGACGAACTTCAGTGTTGTATAAAACAGTAAAATTTTGGCCAAATAAAATTTTTTTTAAAAAAAATTAAGAATGTCAGTTAAGATTAAAAATTCATTGTTGAGTTTCTTTAAGTAAGGGATGACATAGTTGCATCATAAAAACAAAAGTTGTAAAATGTGCTGAGTAAGAAGAATTTCCCAGTGTACATTGAAATATAAATTAAAATTAAAGAAATAATAGTGATTTTAGTATAAAATGAACACCCATGGGAAAAAACTTTACGATTTGAACTTGTTTCATTAAAATAAAGTAGATGGACTTGAACCTGTTGTTTAAAAAAAATAAAAACTATTAATGATATGTAAAAATAAGTAAATTTTGATTGAGTTTATTTTGGGTTTCACATGCATAAATTGACATATTCAATGGCCAAATATTAAAAAAATCCTTATTCTTTGGAAATGTAAGGGCTATTTCATCAGCAAATAAAATCCACTTCAGTTGTTTTTTTATCCTTTTGTGATTTTTATAATTTGAATGGAATTGTTCGGAACAGGAAGGAAATGAAGAAAGTCGGCCAATTCTCGAGTTTTTTTTCTCTTATAGTATCAATGAAAGATAAATTTAGCACATTTTTTGAGAAACGAATTTGATATTTCTTTTTAAGGATAAGAGGAAAAACTGTAAGTTCGGAAGGGTTCGAGTAGAAAAGTGAAAAAAAAAGGTCTCTCGTGAAATTCGATACTTGGGCTTTACAGAGGAGAATGTCCAGGGAGGCGAGCATGTCTGGACGTGCGGACCTCACTGTGAACGAGTGCGATCCGCCCAAAAGGACGTTCAGAGGAAAATCCTCGAGTTCCGTGTTTAATCACTGTTTTACAAGCATCATTAGCAAACAAAGAAAGGTTACTTTTTATTCTTTTCCGCCTTCTGGCACTATTTTTAACACGCCGTCCCCGGACCCCGGGTCGACGTCTCCGAGCCGCCCCTCGGACGCCCCGAGTCCCGGGTGTCCCGCGTACGTCCGGATCAATGCGTTAGCATAAGGGCGAGTTTCACGAGGCCGTCGACGGACGTGGCACGAGGGCCGGGGATCCGACGGAATCCGTCTTCGGACGTCTTTTCGACCCTGAAACGAGTCGAACGCCCTCGGACCGGGCCGAAGACGGCCTCAACGACGACGAATAGGCTATGCTGGAGTTGTGGCGAAGGCCGACTGGCCGGAACCGAACCGAAATACACGGTCCTAAGGCCGTTTGAACCCTTTATAAATAACACAATATGAATTATAAATAAAAAAAGACTCACCTTATTAATTCTTTTTAACGCCATTATCTGATATATATAATATTGAGAGTAAAGCACTACCTTAACACGGGCAACCAAACCGCTATCAAATAGACGATTGGGAAATTCAATATGGCGTCTTGAATAGAGGTTTATCCAGCTAAATATTTAAGCCGATGACCTAATAATTATTGACTTATCACGGGCTGTCGTGGGTCCGGCCGGTGAGAGAATTTAATTTTAATTAAAGCTCGGAGCTTTAAATAATTTTCATGACGGGCCCACTCGCGGAAACTGTCCTTTATACACGGATGCGGAGACGAACGTGATCGAACGGGGTAACGCCGAACGGGAGAGCCTAATGCCACCTGCGAATGAGGCGGCAATTTTCAACGTTTGAATTTTCCATTTTTATTATTGTTTTTATTTATATTTAGAAAGGTTAAACGGGGAGGATTATCACACTTTTGCACTAATGGCATTTATAAGTCGAATTCGAACATATGTTCGGGCCAACTTTTTTGTTTTCAGGCGCGCGTTTCGAGTTAGAGACCGCGTCGGGAACACCTAACAGTTCGATAGAGGGTCACCAGTTCAAACTGAAAAAACTCAATTTTTGACAATAAAACTCATTTTATAAGTTATCTCTAAATAAAAACATCCTCCACCTCAATCCACCCTGCAAATATTCTTACTTAGAAACAGTGACACATCTTTTTTGGCTTTTTTTCTACTGCTGCTAATTCCACATTCTACTACTAATTCCCATATTTTCAGATCTTCCATCAGTTCTTAATTACTCCCAATTTCATCTTTATGCTGATGGCACTCGGCTTTACATTCAGTGTCCTACAAGCAACATCTCTGAAGGTGTCTCTCTGCTCAACCGTGCTCTTTATGCTGAACGTTATGGTATGGTATGGTAAAAAAGGATGGTATGGTATGGTAAAAAAGGATGGTATGGTATGGTAAAACAGGATGGTATGGTATGGTAAAAAAGGATGGTATGGTATGGTATGGTAAAAAAGGATGGTATGGTATGGTAAAACAGGATGGTATGGTATGGTAAAAAAGGATGGTATGGTATGGTAAAAAAGGATGGTATGGTATGGTATGATAAAAAAAGGGATCCTAGGAAGGGGGATTTGTGCTCCCCTGACACTGCAGCCTTCTGGCTTATTGTACCTTCCTAGTTCCTTAGTTCTCTCCTCAGATCATTGAGCAGTCATTGCTGGTACAATTTGATTCCCTAAGTGTTTTTCATATGGTTGGTTAAATCTACATTGAGCTATTGCTTCGTATTCCAAGATGATATGGGTGGTTGTTTCCTCCTTCTCATTACATAATCTGCACATGGGATCATCGTTGTATATGCCGATGTTGTGTAGATGTTTTCTCAAATTCTAAACCCTTCCAAATCCCAGTCCTTATTGATTTCCAATTAACAGATTGTCTATCCTCTCCTCATATCCACTCCCCTATTTTTGATAAATTTTACAGCTGTGAGACAGCCCTTCTCAAAATCTCAGATGATATTCACCTAGTAGTTTATAAGTTATCTCTAAATAAAAACATCATCCTCCTCAATCCACCCTGCAAATATTCTTATTTAGAAACCGTGATGCATCTTTTTTGGCGTACACAGTAGATAAGTGTACTATTTCAGTTTTCCAATGCATTTGGTTCTGTAAATCATAATTTGCTTATTTGGAAACTGGCGGATCTTTTTGGTTTTTCTTACTACTGTTTATTAATCTCATTTCCTCCTATCTGTCTGACAGAACTTAGAAAGTTGAAGCTTTAAATTCTATCTCCTCTTCTATCTCAATTCAAACTGGTGTACTCCAAGGATCCATTCGTGGATCTTTACTCTTTTCCATGTTTCTAAATGATCTTCCATTTGTTCTCAACTCCTCCCAATTTCATCTTTATGCTGATGACATTCAGCTTTACATTCAATGTCCTACAAGCAACATCTCTGTGCTATCTCTATGCTCAACTGTGCTCTTCATTTTAAACCCTAACAAATCCCAGTCCTTATTAATTTCCAATAAACCCATTAGTACAGATTGCCTATCACCTCATCATATCAACAGCTCTCCTATTTTCAATAAATTTTAAATTTTATATTGTGAGAGAGCCCTTCTCAAAATCTCAGATGATATTAATGTCTTCAGCAAGCTTAACATTCTAAATACTTGTAAACTTAGAGTTTTAATATACATATTAAAACTATGCCTAGTCATTTATGATAATAAGTATACTATTTCATTTTTCCGATGCATTTGGTTCCACAAATCATAATTTGCTTATTTGGAAACTGATGCATCTTTTATTTTATTTTATTTGTTTCCACTACTATCGTGTAATCGGATTGGACTCTCGACGAGAAATGAAATGACCACAGAGAGCTTTAGTGAAGTATACTTCATTTAAATTCACTAATTTCGTGGTCCACTTGACCAATTAATGGCATTAATGAAAAATGGCAAAAAGGAGGGAAAATTCAAAAGGTGGGGTTGAGATGGGAAGTTGGTGTCCGAGTGGATCGAGGTCACGTTAGCTCAAGTGGTAGAGCAGCGGCGTATCAAGCCAAAGATCGTGGGTTCGAATCCCGCTCGTGCCATTGACTTTTTTATCTCAACTAAAAACCTTAATTAATTGTAATATATTAATTGGTCAAGCGGACCATGAAATTAGTGAATTTAATGTTTTACATTTTTTTTTAAAGCATAATAAAACAAGAGAATATGTAAATATAATTTTGTTTACAATATAGAAGAAATTTATATGGTATGCAAATATGCAGAACACTCGTATTTGCTACAGGTTCTCTTTCAAAATCCAGCATATCCCATAGAATTTTAATTTATAATAATATGAAAAAAGTATTTTAATGTGGTTCGACCCCACGTCCACGACATACACGCACATACATTTTTGGAATTATTTTACTTATATACTAAATCTTTGTTCAGGAATTATGGTACAACTAAAAAAACAAATCATATTGATCAATTTGTCTCTACAAATTTTTATTTTTAACCATTCACAATCAACATAGTGTGCAATTAGCATGAAGTGAAGTATTTTATTTAGAATATTGTTAAAACTATTGACATTCTTAGGTGTAGTTATAATGACTTTTCTTCTATTTTTTTTTTTCTTTCAACTGGTACATTCATTAAAAAAAAAAAGTAAAATGTTTAATAACATCCTCGGAGTACCACTATTGTTATAAAAAATATGTATTATTTTTGGTGCTCAAAAGGACAATTTTATACGTTAAATATATAAAATAAATAATATTTGAAAATATTTTACAACATAATTATACAAAAGTGGTGTTTTAAAATTTAGACGATGAAAAATGAGGCTGAAAGGTATAGATCAGGTTGTCTGATTGTGTGTCGTGGATTATCTTCTCCGTTCCACCTGAAATTGCGACCAAGAAAATTTAATTTTTAAAGTCATTCGATTAATGAAAAATTTATTTAAAAAAAGATTAGACATAGTAATATTCATATGTTAATTATTAATACTGACTTTTGACGTTAGTCATTCCACAATAAGGCTATGCTCAACAGGGATTACTTTTTAATTTTAGTTAACTAATTACTTGAAAGTACCTGTGAAACAATTGAGCCAATCCGGTTGAGTAACAAATCAAAGGACCTAGCCTTGCCCTATAAATATTATTTATTTCGGTAAAATTATGAACTTATCAATATTTTCTTTTTCTTTATATTCATTTTTTACCTGATCTCTTCACTTTTAAACCAAGCCATGATTTAAAGCAAAATAATTTTAATTAGAGCAAAGTTTGATTACTTGGTATTTTGGCCTAATCAATTTTTTTTAGTAACAGAAGAAAAAAGAAAAAAACATTAAAATATACTTACTTAATACATCATCACAAACATCATCAAAATTATTTCCTACAATCACTTTAACTCCCTTTATTGCCTAAAAATATAAAAGGTTTGTAACTATTAAACTCTGAGGATTTTTTTTTTACAACACAATTACCTCTCTGTATTTAAGAAGGTATAATTTAAGAGGCTCTAAGTAATTATCAAATCCCAATGTGTTCATCGCGAACAATATATCTTCACCGTTGATTGTTTTTCTTTTTTCCATATGGCATCGATCGCTGGCTTCACTCGTTATGAAGCTTATAAATTCCGATACGCACTCTTGAACACATTCTCTGGCATCTTTGGCAATCTAAAAACAAAAAAATTAATTATTTCTTCATCATAAAATTTGTAAAAAATAATAATACTTTTCCACTCTCTGGTATTGCTTTTTTCATTATTTTTGCCACGTTGGCTATGGGGAGAAACCTATCTTGCTCCCTGAGGACAATATTTGGTTTATCACCGTGATTTGAGTCATCAGTATTTTCGCCTGCTAGTTCCAGATCATCTAAAAATAATTAAAATGAGTTTCTTCTTATTTTCATTAAAGGACATGATAAATTTAATTATACTGACCGTCCATCTCCTCTTGAACTAGAAAAGTTTGAGGGTCTGCGTGGAAAATTGCAGTCCCCAACTCGTCTCCACTTTCTGTGTTTTCCATTGTGTCTAAAACATATTTGTTTTGTTTTGATTAATAATTCCCACCTCAAACAAGTACAAATATATGTTAATACTATTGAAAAAATAAATAAATTAGGATTTCAAACTTTTCTCTGCTGCTACGATTTAGGCCTACTGTGGGAACCCTGATGATTAAAAGCATACTGAGGCAAATGCACTTTTTCCCACAAAACGAAGCACTTTCTGCTTCTTTTCGAACTTCTCTTGGTGTGAGAATTACCTCACTGAAGTGGCTGTAATGTTGGTGTGAGGTCTTAAAGCCTCACATTTGAAAAAAAAAAAAAAAAAAATGCAGATGTAAAAAAAAAAAAAAAAAAATGCAGATGTGTTTGGTTTTTTTGACAGAGGGCTTCTCGCTCTCTACTTTGCCCATTTAAGTGGTATGATGGCAGTAATCATAGATGCATATAGTTTTCCTCAAATCTTCTCTGCAGCGAGGGAGGAATACCTTTGCCTTCTTTTTTGATAGATTTATAAATCTGTTAGCTTGTCTCATACCTTGTGCTTTTCTTCAGTGCTTAAATGTTTCTTTTTCAAGCTGTATCACAGCCCAAATGTTGGCAATATTTGGAGCGTATATTTGTAGTTCTGGTCCCATGGGTGAGAGGGCTGCTTCTCCTTATTTTGCTAGTTGGGCGCCTGTTTGTTTTTTCTATACTTTTCTGTCCTGGAACCCACTTCAACAACCTTGTGTTTTCCTATGGCCAATAGGTAATTTTGGAATTCTTTAGGCATTCCCAGACTAGTTCGGGGCTAAAGGCGTACTCATTTAGTGCCTTTATGGCTGCCAGTCCGCCCAAAAATTTGAAGATCCTTGAAAGAAAGAACCAGTTCAAAGGGTTATAGCCATCTCATTTATTTTAATTCTCTATATAATTTTATGATGGCTTCTCCTTATATTTGGTTTTATTTCCTTGTATCTCAGGGTTTGGATGTTGAAAGCTACTTTGTGTAAATAAACGTATAAGGTGGAAGATCGAATGCGGTTTCTATTGCAGTTGTGGGACAAGTACGCATGAACCTTGCAACGACCAGTGGATAAACCTAAATTTATCTAATTTTGTGGTACATAATCAATGTAAAATTAATGTTTGGACTAAGTTAATTAGCCCAGTTTTAATAAATAATAAGTAATCAAACTGTGGCAAATATTAGAAGCCTTTAAACTGTGTGCTGTGTCAATTTAATACGTTCTGTGCAAACTGGATTTTCAATTTTCAGCCTCGCATGAAGCAAATAAAAAAAATAAAATTGTTACACATTATTTTCTGGTGTGATAGTTTGGATATTTCGACTCTCCTTAAGGTCTGCTTTTTTTTGGTATTGATATGCTGAGCTTTTTACCTGTTTCAATAAATTATTTGCTAATATATTTTAATTTATTAATTGTAATTAGTTTTTAGCTAAATTTAAAAACATATTATGGGTAAGCCTTTCTAAAATAATAAATTACTTGTTTAAAGCCTGCAGCTTACTAAATTGCTATTAATTGTGTACTTTACACTTCCCCCATTTTTTTCCTCCTATGGGGGAAAATTATATTTTTCTTTCTTTATTTTGTTTACTAGCTGCTAATAAATATTTCCATCATGAAAAAATGCAGAAATTAAAATGAAATGGTCCTTTTTTTTTATTATTTGAACCCGCTTTCTTTGGAAATGTACCACCTACGGTCTAACCACCTGAGCCGAAATCCATCGACCTTTTTATCTCAAATTCCGTGTTTAAAAATTAATAGCAAGCAAACTACGATTATGGAACTCACAGAGAGAATAAACTTGATAATTATTGTTTAAAAACTGCAGCAAGGACAGGCAAATATTTAGTTTATGGTCATCGAACAATGTTGGCATTTTTATTTTTTCCCAGTCAATTCATGCTCAAAAACACTAGTAAATTATTTAAGCCTTCCGTTTCAAATCAAAGTGAATACAAGGTTGATTCAACTAAGTTGCCCAGTTGACATTCAACTATTTTACTGCCGTGTGAAGACTCGGTTTCACACCAGGCAACTTGTGGAATCACTCTTCACAACGGGAGGTCAGTACATGTTAGAATTCGAGGAAGCAGGAGCACTTCTTGTACTCGCTCTTCTGCAAAAAAACAAAAAAGGAGGAAACCCAGTAAAGAAAAGTGTGGTTTATCTGTTGTTATAAAATTGAAAAACGGGCGCTTTCTCTCAACAACTGTTGTGCTACCTCCCTCCAAGCTTCTTTTAATTTTGTCACTATACTCCTCACACCTCATGCCCCATATCGCAGGACTAATACGAATTTCTTCAATGAACTGCTCCACATTGAAGCAATTGTAACGCTTTCCGTGGTGAACTCAGTTGACTCAACTAGGCAACTGGTGAGAAGACGAATGTTGAGCAGTGTCTTTTGAACGTGAGCGGCACTTATGCCTGCTGGCCCCGCCTGGGCGGATGAGTTGACTGCGTATAAAGTGGTAGGGGCGACTCCCAAACATTTTGCTACCACGTTACACTCCTTGACACCCATCCGTTCAACTAGTCACCTCGTCTGAAAGAGGCCTAAGGAAACTGGTTATAACCAACAATATTTAAAATTTTGTATTCCTACGCGTGACAAAAGCAAATTAAGTTTTATACAGTAAGATATGACATAATAAATTCTCAAACGAACTCCTTTCAAACGAAATATGCATAGTGGATTTAATTTTAATGAATATATAATAGTTATTCATAAAACAAAGGAAAATAATGTGCTTATTAAAAACTTCAAGGCCCCAGAGAGGGTTCGTGTAAAGTGTAATATCAGTAACCGTGGAGATGGTTACTGATATTACACTTTACACGATCGTTCTAAGAGAATGCTGTATTACATTACACAGTAGTAAAATTCCAACAAATCTTATATTAACAATTAATTTACTCTACTTAATTTATTGTTGATGAAGTATTTACTTCGACAGCCCAATAGAAATAGGTAAAGCAGAGGCAAGCCACACTTACGGCTCTTCTAGCGAGTTCAATCTTCGATTTTCCGAAAATGTTTTCCTCGATCCTTTCGTTTTAATTAAAAAAAGCCTATATGTTTAAAATTACTGGTGAAAATTTGGATTATTACAAAAATCCGCTTTGGCCCTTCCTCCAATCTGACTGGTCCGTATGCCGTGTAGTTCAGGCGAACCTTATTGGTTACAACCTTATTAACCTTATACTATTGTTACTGGTGTAACAGTCACAATCTCAATGAACCAATAATAATCAATTTACTGAAAAGATTGGCATTAATTTATGAGTTAAACTTTTAATAATCACATTCAATTCAGCTTGAAAACGAAAATCATTTTATTTAAAAGTAATAACGATATAATAATTGAAAGCTTAATTACCAACAGAAAAAGTAAAGTCCCATTATAAAATTGAAAAAATGAAATTGTATATATCTAAAAAAGCAAATTTAACTTTACAAAAGTGTTCTAATAATGAAACTTCTAAACTGAAATATTCAATGATTTTTAAGATAAATTTTAAACTAAGATTTGCCACTCTAATTTGAAATATTATAGATTGTCCATGTTTAAATGTAGCTTGTTCTAACTAGTTCTATTTGTCAAAAATTTTTTGCAATTACTGTATATAAATTTTATCATTATGCAATACAATAAGATTACCTTGATTTATGAGAATCGCTAAACCTGATAAAGAACTGGATAAATTTTTAATTGGGAAAATCTAAAAGAAAGTTTATGATAGTTACAGCAAATCATATAACAATGCATATTTTAGACTTGTTTTTTGGGTATTGTTTGTTAAATCCACCATTTTGTGGTGAACCGTTTATTTATGCCGAGCCTTTAATTGTGGAACATTCTTTGGATAGAGAGTTAGTTTTAGTGAATTGCAAGAGGTAATAAATAGGGTGAAATATGGGGGTGGCACCTGGGCTTGACTTTGAATGAATTTTTTAAAAATAGTTCCAGTAATTTCTTAGAATGGTTGTTCAAATTTTATAATCATATTTACGAAACGGCTGATGTCGTAGCCGGTTTTAAAAATTTCGCTATTTTCTCTTTACATAAGGAGGGTTATACTAATGTTGTACCGAATTATAGAGGAATTTTTCTGATAGAATATATATAAAATATTTACTGGTTTTCTATTAGTACGACTGAATACTTGGGTGCAGGAGAATAATGTGAGAGAGAGAGAGAGAGAGAGAGAGAGAGAGAGAGAGAGAGAGAGAGAGACCTCTGCTGTTGTGAACCCTCGTAAAAATAATTAATTATTTTTTATAGTACACTAAACCCGCACAACTTGTGAATATTGCGTTACTGTAAGCCATAAAAGCCTTGTAAAAATCCTTGAATTCGCGAACCATTTTCTTTGGAAATATTCTATAAATAGGAATTTATGTTCAATAAGTACATTCATTATTTATTTTATTATCTATAAATCTGCAATTAACACAATATCTTAAAAGAGAGCTGATTGTTAAAATTTTAAATTGGGATTTGTTAAAAAAAAAATTAGAAAACACTATTAATTTGGCATCCTTATATAATAATAATATGTAATTTATATAAGGCATAATAATCTATCCTGTATATTAATTTTTTGTTAATCTTGCTTTAATTTAAACATTAGCATTATTTTGTGTAGTGATTAGTGACCGTTAGTCGATGATTATTCAGATTTACAAACATTGTTTAAATTTAACAAATACATGCAGGATGTGGAAAAAAGTGAATTTATACAATGCAAAAAATATTTTTTATATTCAATCAAACAATCTTACAGCACTCGTTACCCACCATTTTGAACACAAACACAATTTCGACTTCAACAATCTAAAAATATTACGCACAGAACAAAACAAACATAAACGTAACTTTTTAGAAATGGTTTACATCAACAGAGATAAACACAGCATCAATTACAGAACAGATACATGTCAACTCAGTCGCGGCTACGCCAATATCATTAATCAAATTCAATATAGATAACACACCTATATCATCACATCCCACAAAACACATGTAATATATAAAACATTCATCACATTCCACACATCAAACATTTTTACATAGTCTAATTTTTCAACAATTTAGCTTTCCTTTTCCTATTTATCCCCATCTATATAATCCTGACAGGATAATCTGGCTGAACCATTACCAACGTTTTTTTCCTTCGTCGGCATTTTTCATCTCAAAGAAGCCAACACCTTATAGAAAAAGGTCTTTCTATACCAACTTCCCACCCCTTCAAAATCCAACGTATATAAACATAAAACAGCAAAATCTCACTGACACTCTCAACACGACACGCAAGAATGACACAATTTCGCAGAAAACAAACACTTTGAGTGAGTTGAAATATTTTGATTGAATATAAAAAATATATTTTGCAATGTATAAATTCACTTTTTTCCACATCCTACATGTATTTGTTAAATTTAAACAGTGTTTGTAAATCCCAGGCCCTGAAGATGATCTCAATAAAGATCGAAACGTTGGCACGATAAAGAAAATGTTTTTCTGAAACCTACATCACACCAGACCACATCTCATGATTTCTGAATAATTAGCATTATTTTTTTAGAGTACACTAAACCCGCACGACTTGTGAATATTGCATTACTGTAGGTCGAATCTAGATCATATAGAACTTTTTTTTATTGAATATTATTCAAGCTTCAGTTAAATATGGACAAAATACTCCTCTTGACAGACTAAAGAACAAGGCCAATAAATTCCCTCAATAGAATTGTTTCTTATCATATAATTCCTTTAAACAATTCACTCTACTTATTAATGTCTGCTGTAATTTTTGACATTGATATTATAATTTGATTGTCTTGATTTTTTATACCTATACTTACCTATATTTTTTATATGGTGTGCAGTAGTTTTAGAAAAGAACATTTTCTTTATTGTCCCATTCCTATCTTTATTGAGATCATCTTCAGGGCCTGGGATTTATAAATATTGTTTAAATTACACGTAGGATGTGAAAAATGAATTTATAAAATGCTAGAATTTTAGACTCAAAGTATTTGTTTTCTGAGTACAAATACCTTGATTCAAGGTTGAAATCGGACAGACTGGAAGGAGTAAAAGGATTTCCAACTAAAAAGTGCATCTAATTAAAGCCCTTGACACGTAATTACATTACAGCATGAAAAAGAAATTGAAGAACTAACACTTCGAAACAAATTACGACTACGGTTTTAATGCTAACACCGGGAAAAAAGTAAAAAAAATTCGAAGTAGCTTTATTTCCAGCGTTGCTTTGAAAAAGAATGAAAAAACCTTTCGAAACGTTGGCAAATTAAAGAATTGAGCACTATGCTGTTTTCTGTATGACTGCACATTCCACAAACCCAACATCGTTCAATATAACAGTCATAGATAACAGAATATAATTTAACTAAGTAGTCATAAAATATTCTTATTTTTACTTACTTGATCAAAATATTTTTATGTAATTGTTTTCTAATATTATTTTTATAATATTTTAAAATATATTAATTTACATGACAATTTAAAAATTTACAATAACAATGATAAATGTGATCTTTTTTAGGTACATTTATAAGAAACATTCTTTTAAGCTATTTCTTGCTTTACATATTGTTTAATACTTAAATAATTTTTTCCCTTATTTTCTTAGTTTTGCTTTTATATTGTTACATTTTATTTATTTTATATGTGTATATTTAAACATTTTTGTAAATTGGATTAATTCCGTAAAATGTATTATTATTATTGTAAATCATATCAATTTGTATTAGTTTTTTTATCATTTTAAATTTTTGTTTAATTGAAAACCCAAATATTCTATTTTCTATTAATATTACATTTATATTGGCTTGAGTTGAGTTGGATACTTATTCTTATAAGGTTTTTTTTCTTGCTAGTTTACTTACTTATTTATTTTATAATAAAGATGCTTTGCTCTTTTTCTCAAATACTCACATTAAAAAATAAAATAAATAAATACAAAGCAGTTCTACACGAGTTATTGGTCTGTATTAACTCCTGCAGATACCTAGCACCAATAATCCCTGAAATTCCACCAACATTCTTACTTTAGCTTTGAAATTTGCCAAATACAAGAATTTAATGATTCTGGTCAAAAAATATGTCAGAAAAATTTAGATGCCCTACTACATTAACATAAAATTGGACATTTCATTTCCCAGCAGATACTGAGCATGTCAAAGGAGTTGGAAGACTAAATAAATTTGCTTAATTGTCTGAATATATGATTTTATTGAAAATTAATTTTTTATTTTATTTTTAGTGCAGGTGTAATAAGAAAACAGCTCCAAGTTTTTAAGCTTTGTTCTCTATTAATGGCAAGGGGAGGGAGTAAGAAATATTTCGCCATGATTTCTACGTACCAATTTTTTTGGAAAAAGAGTTAACCTTAAAATTAAATTTTAAAAACTTCTTTAATACTCAAAATTTTAACAAAGAAAAAAAGAAAAAGGAGCTGCCTCCTTACTGCTGCAGCCCCCATAATTCTGTATGTATATTTGTATTGTAAAATTTGTACTTTGCAATCTTTTTCTTTATAAATATATTTAAAAATATTAAATATAAATTTGATTAATTAAGGTTTTTAAGTTGACATAAAAAAGTCAGTGTCACAAGCGGAATTCGAACCCACGACCTTCAGCTTGATACGCCGCTAGTCTACCACTTGAGCTATCATGACCTCGATCCACTCGGACACCGACTTCCCATCTCAACCCCACCTTTTGAATTTTCCCTCCTTTTTGCCATCTTTCAATTCAACGAAAAATAGTGAATAAAATATAAACTTAAAATATTTATAATTAGAAAAAAAATTTTCCCTCCACAACAACTGTTGTTCCTTAGGCAGCCCTATATTAGCAGACCAGCTATATAAAAAAATTATATATAAAGGGATCTAGAAAAAGGGAAATACTGCTTTCATTCATTCAATCCATTCCTCAACATTAAAGGCCGAGGGCTAGGAAGGATATGGGAAAAATATTTACTAATGATTTTTAATGTTCTATTCGTCTTCTTCTTATAGTTTATAGCATTTGTTTTCATTAAAAAAATTGGTATTACTTTTTCCTATTTATTTTGTGTGATTCTTTCTTGAAGTCTGCTTGTAATGAACTTGTTTCTTCGTTGTTTTTGATCATTTTTTGTTTTTTATTACACCACTAATGTAATTACAGAAGCCTTTTGTAAAAATTATTCTGGTAATTTTTTGCATTTTGGTCATGTACAAAATAAGAGCTAGGCAAGTTGAAAGTGTATTATATGGTCGGGCATACTTTTACTTGCATTAATTGAACAATTATGAAGCTACATCAATTCATGAATTTTTAAATTGCCTCTACCATAAACACATACTCCTACAATGGTCGTGAAATCTAGATAGCATGTTGATCGAGGCTGTGCCGAAAAAAAGAAAATAGTATAAGGCTTTATATGTTTTGAAAGTTAGATTACAGTGATAATAGTATAACATTGTGTATTAATTTAATGTATTAATTAACACGGTATATCCAAATACAATAAAAAGAAGAAATTTAAAATGGCCATTTTTTTGCCAAAAAGCAATATTTGAATATCTCACTTTATCTCCTCCAACCAACAAACATCTTATCCAAAAGGGTATTGGATAATAAAAATAAAAATACAAATATTGTAAATTCAAAGTATTTATTTGGGTATTATATTACATTTAATCATGTAGAAATATTGACATTGTACCTCAATTTTACACAGTTTTCAAACACTTAATGTTAAAATTTAACCCATCCATTCCATTTAAATATCCACAATCAAGAATTTACCGTATTTACTCGCTTGAGGTAAATAAATAGTATTACTCTTTTTCTATGTATGACTTGTAGTTTTAATCTAAAGTACAAATTTTAAGCAAGTGTATTGCTGTGGCACGGTAGCTTGTATGCAACAACTTTATATTGCCAATCCCTGATTAGAATATTTTTAGCGTTTAACTTGTAATTTTTAAGTAATAAGTAATATTTGTAGGCAAAAGCTATAGTACATTAGTTTTAGTATTCCATATAAGTTCAGGAAGCTTGACAACAATAATGAAATATTTATAATAATATAAAATTAGCAATTTATCATTCATAAAAATATCCATTTCCAATCGCTTTATTGTTTTCGTTCTGCTGTAGAGAGACACATTATAAAAACAGTTGTTTTTTGTTTTAATTATTGTTATCATTTTGCATTATCCTTTTCATAACTTAGACATGTTATCCAATTTTTGGTATTATCACATACAATTCCATTTAACACTACATATAAAATACTTATGGTGGTACATTGCTGAGCATGAATAATTTTCATATTCTAGCCTGTTAAAATCATATTTATATATTTATGCAAATGTATGAAGGAATTGCATTTTTTAAAATTTGATTTTTATGTTAAATCACACGTTATGTATCCATAATAGGCACTATAAACTGTGTTATAGGCAACGGCACATTTCAGACTTTATTATAAAATGTTTAGAGCTCCACTTACCAAAAAAACACTGTCAATTTTTTTAAAATGTGTGTGTACCATTAAAAATCTTTGGGACATTTACACTTGGAAAGTTATACAAACTATAAAGCTAAAAGTTGATCAACTCTCCCTATTTGTATATATTTTTTTAAACAGCTTTTTGTGGGAAGCATTATTTGCTCAAGTTCAATGCCTAAATAAACTAAATGTGTTTTTTTACTTTGGGTTTCTCCCAAAAATAGAAATATGTGTGAGTGAATCAAATATTCGTAAGATCATAACTATTCAGTCAGGCATTCACTTCTCGGCAAGCTCTTCAATAAAATGTTTTTATTTTTTACTTCTTTTCTGCTTTGTCTCCTTGTTTTCCAGCTCTGCAATAAAAAAAGTAAAGAATTACTGCAAGCAGATAAGAAAAAGCAGACAAAAATACATTGTGGTTCACTTCGTCCTGATTAGGGACATCGCACACTACAGTCTGATTTGGTTGCAACCTCACTAGGCAAACTAAACTATTTTTTCTATTTAAAAAAATCTTTTAAAATTTGAACTGGAACATGCTTTTTTAGTATTTTTGTCTGGCAATTTAAAGGGCCGATAAGTTTCTATGGATGTGAGTAGCAAGGTAAGATTTGGCCATGGGGTTACATGACTCTAAAGCGCTGCTACTTTCATGTACAGACGGCCAAGCAGCACTGAAGGCCTTATACTTTACCTTCAATTCAAAGCTGGTCTGGGAATCCCTAACATAATCAGCAATTATGATGTGGGTACGAGGACATGGGGGGATTGAAGGCAACAAACTAAGAAAAGCACGAGCAGCCCTCCTTTGGAACAGAATGACAAATTGCAGACTCTAAAGCAATATAAAAGTGGAACTGATTGAATGGAGAAAGAAATGAATACATACTGTATGAATTCTCTGAGTGCAAAACAATCAAAGTATCCTCAATATTCCAACCAGTAAAAAAAAAATTTACCTCTCTCTCAGTAGAGAATTAAAAAAACAATAGTAGCTGGCCGAGTGGTTAGGACGTTTAACTTGTATTTACCAAGTTAGGGGTTCTGGGTTTGACTCCTGGCACAGTGCATGGCTTTTAAATTGAGAATAGTATGAAAGAAGTATTGTAAGGTTGGTGCAAAGTTCATAAGCCCTCTTGAATGACTGGATTTTTTTTTAATGGCCTTATGAACTTTCCATGTTAGCCAAGAATCGTTGTATCTTATATGTATGTTCCCTATATATATTTTTTTTTCTTTTTTTTTTGGGTGGGGAGAAGGTTTGCATGAAAAAGGGACCAGGGGCGATGGTGGGAATTGAACCCACGGAGTCTAAAAGTTCTATCACGCTGACCATTCGGATACTGCAATCCCCCAGGAATTATTTTTTTACTGCTCACCTAAAAAAACGGAAAAAACTGAAACAGAAGCTGACTGTTGTCATGAAGAGACAGAAAATTAGAAACATGTCCTTTGTGACTTGAAAGCATCATTTCAGAACGATACAGAATATTCAGAAATGCAAGAAAGAAATAAACAATGAGAAATCCAGGAAAGTGCTAAACTACTTTTTTAGGTTTAGAAATTAAGAAGGGTCAATTTCTGTTTTAAGTCTTCTAGTGGAAGAAAGGGTGACTGGTCACTGGAGACCCAAACAAGGAAACAAATGGGTTATTAGCATTATAATTAGCTTCACTAATTTCGAGTTCCACTTGACCAATTAATATATTACAATTAATTAAGGTTTTTAGTTGAGATAAAAAAGTCAATGGCACGAGCGGGATTCGAACCCACGATCTTCGGCTTGATACGCCGCTGCGCTTAATAGGTCAAGTGGTAGATCTGCGGCGTATCAAGCCGAAGATCGTGGGTTCGAATCCCGCTCGTGCCATTGACTTTTTTATCTCAACTAAAAACCTTAATTAATTGTATTGCAATTAGCACTCGTAGAATCAAAGATGATAATTCCAAGCAATAGAACAACTCGATATTTCTCGAGATACAATTTTTTAAATAATAGTACAGAGCTTCGACTTTTTGGTAGAATGTCACTCAAAAATTTGATGAACAACAACAAACAATGAAAAAACAGTTTGCTGATAGTTGGGCAACTTTTAGGTTAAACTGGGCAGCCTTTTTTTTCCCTCCACCTCCCGGAGACCCCATACCGGCGGACCTCGGCCTCTAATCTAGTTTTGCTTCTAATTTTGGGTCCTGGGGTACTTAACACCTTCCTTTGATCTTGCCCTGTGAGGGGAGGAGGCCCAAGGAAGGTAAGGGAAACTGAGCAGCCTATAGGACTGTTTAGTTTTGACAGATAGAATCACCCGGGGAATGGGCACTCACAAAAGTCGTAATGTTGAATAAGCAACCAACTAAAAGTCTGTAGTCTGCAGGTCTTATGTACAAAAACTGTATTTTGTGTTTGAATAATTTACCTGGTAGCTCCAACGCTAGATCCAGAAGCAAAACCTTGAGTCTCTTCTTCACCCTCTAAAAAAAATATATATAGCAAAAGGATATTTATTTATAAAAACTAGTCATATTATTGGTGCAGAATCTATAAATCAACTAAAATTCAGTTCAGCAAATGAATGCCTCAAAATCACACAAGAGCAAAACTAATGTTAATATCACATATCTATTCATGCTTTTTTCACTAAACACCAAATCTTTTCAAATGGAGCATGCTTTCACAGCAGCTAAGGATTTACTATTATCCACTGCTGAGAATCATAACATGAATTGTTTTACCATTTCCTAAAAAGAGAAACTGAATTTGACAGGCGGTTTTAGAAAAAGAAGTCATACTTTTAAAATTTGGAGAAAAAATATAAAACAAGTTAAAATAACAAATATTCTTAACATCATGGAGAACACTAGGGAAGAGAAAAAGTGTTGTTTTATAATCTTAGAAAGTAAAAAATATATATAAAAATGTCTAAATTTTTAAATAAACACGAAAGCGAAAAAGTTAAAGAAGAGTTAGGGATAGAAAACAGAATATAAAGAAAACTTTTTAGGGAATGTTAATTAAAGTAGCCAACTAACCTAAATGTGTATGCAGGTTAAATCTCCAGTCATGTTCTCTCGGATCATATTCCGGATCTTCATCGACACTAATGTCATATTTTAGAGGTGGGCGTGAGCCTGCCATAATCGTAAAAGCAAATATTGCAATATAAAGACAAAAGCATTTGTTTTACTGTTAATCAATAGCTACTCGTAAGGTCTGTACTAATCAAATTTATACTCTAGTTCATTACGCCAACATCATAATTTGTTAACAGTACATATTAAATACATGGACAATTAAGCACTAAAATTTAAAAACTACCCTCACATTTAACTACTTTGCAACTACTATTTACAATGCACAATATAAAGGTACACAGAAAAACTTTTAGGTTACCTGCAATAAATTTTTCTTTGTGTTTATTTTGCAAAATTCTAACTACATATTAAACATCATTATAAAGAATAGTAAATTACTTTTATGAAATTCTTTGGTCATATTCACATTATTAAGTTTACCTAATACTATGTACTTTTCATTTGTTAATTTGTTGTAAAGTCAAATTTTCAGCAACTTGCTGGCCAAATAAGGACACAATCATGAAGAAGGACAATTTACCCACTGAACAATTTGTCTGTGCACATATATATTTGAATTAACAGTCATCTAACTTGAGCGGTAGTAAGATTAGTACAGTCCTTGCTATTTACCCAATTCCCCTTCGTACGTTTAACAAAACGTAAAGCGAGGGCAATTGGATTTTTAGTGTTCGCGATCAGCCATACACACCAAGCCTAATTTACCAACCGTGTACGGTTGTGTTTAATTAATACTCATCACATGCTTGACTACATAATCCTTGTTTCATTTAAAATTTTATCACAGGTACTAATGAAACATGGTGTTTTCTTTAATATTTTCAAATGATGGATAGATCCAGTGTTTCAAAAGCCTATGATTAGTTCAGACTACTTGATTTTTAGGATAGGGGTTGAGACAAAATTGAAAATAGCCACAGCTCTTAATTATTTTAAAGTAAAACAAATAGTTGATTTTCGTTTTGAAAGGGTAGAAAATTACTGTTAACAGTTTCTTGGTGCTATGTTATAGCAAAGCACCAAGTAATTAGTTATTTAATTAATGAAATCAAGGAAAGCTTTTTTTAAATTGAGTTAGTCATTTTTAAAGCATGCACTTAGTCATGTTTTTGTCTTGATAAATTTCTTTTTATTTTAGCCTACATTCAGGATATTTCATGCACAAGGCATTTACTATAACTAAAAATGTTAACCTCGGTGAGGGATCTCCGTTTCTTTAGGCTGCTGATCACATTTTACTGTTTCTCCTACAAACATAATTTCTTATATAACATCAGTTTACCAATAAATTTTTTGTTATTGTTGTTAATAAATAAAAAAAAAGTATGACTACTATGGGAATAAGTTAGTAGTTAGTAAGAAAAAACTACCTTTGACTTGAGAAGAGGTAGTGGTCCGTTGTATAGTTGTAATACTAGTCTGAGACTCGATTGGGGAGGAAATTTGGAAAGTTTCGAGTAAAGGAGAGGTAGAACCAATTTGAGCATCAGTTAATGATTGCAAATATTTTTGCAAATCTGATCCTGTGAGATTGGTCGTATCCCCACCTAATTCTTCAGGGCGTATCACTACCCTTTTTTGAATAATCCTTTTTATATGTACATTACCGTCTTTATCGACTTCTCGAGTTTCTGTAACATCTTCACCAGGATCGAACTTTTCAATGTATTCTCGTAATCCCTTTTCGGCGTCTTCTCCTTTAAATGTTATCTTGCAGATTTCAGGAGGCATTTCGACTGTCCTATGTATCATCTGTGGAAATTCGTCATCTCCTATAATGGGCTCAATTACTTCTGTGACGTACGGTTTTCCTTCGTCGAACCAATAGCTGGCCCGTGCAGCATCTTCTTCGTTGTCATCAACCATTGTGGTTGAATCTCCTGATGTAAAGCTAGAAGACATTACGGAATCGGTTTCATAATGATAAGTGGCATGAGTTGCTGTAGAACTAGTTGGTTCAAGAGAATCAGTGCTTCCGAGTAGAAATTCTGCTCTAGGAGGTGGCATCCTATTAGTCGTCATGCCAACTGCTCCTTCAACACTGTCTTCTTTTCCAGAACTTAAATCTCCTTCTTTGCCACTGGAGCTGCTTTGATCTGCTCCTGCTCCTTGTTGCTCATCTTCATCAATTGAACTGGCTTGAGTAACTTTGCCTTCTAGCGAATCAGTGGATGTTACATTAGCACGTTTATCTCCCATTTCAATAGAATCAGTCATTATATCTTTTTTCTTGTCTTTTTGTGATGCTTCTATCGAGTCAGTGCTTATAGACATTACATCATGTGAAATTTTTAATTCTAAGGAATCTGTACTAGTTGTAAATGGATCAGCGATACTCGTTTTTGATATTTGTGTTTTAACTTCCAGTGAATCTGTACTTGTTAGAAGATCTTCACCTAGGTCTTCCCAGTGCTGTATATAGCTTTTACCACTACTGTAACTAACTGGTTGATCTAGGTCCAATTCTGGTACTTTAGATATTTCTTCTATTGAATCGGCTCTTCCCAATGTCTCACATTTTATCCCACTCTCGGTAAAATCTTTCTGTTGGCCCATGAACTGTTCTACATTTGTTTGTGCCTGCCTGATGATTTCATCAATTTCAAACATTCGCCTTTCGTAATCATCTTCATCCGATTCTGCCCTGTTGATACCACCTGCAGAGACAGTTGTGCAACTTTCTGATTCTGAAGTTTGACTCTCATGCCCCTCTTCTATTTCCGATAGGAGTGATTCTTCTTCGGCTTTTGCTTTTTTTTCAATATGTTCTGCAGCGATGCAAGCGCTTTCTAGGCCTTCAAATTCTTTTAGTGATGCAAGGGATATATCATCTCCTGCACTTCTGCCGTGTTTTCTACTATTGCTTGAACTTGTAAGTGAATCCTGTGAGCCAAGGGATCTGTGTTTAGTCGATTCTAATGCTATAAGATTTTCTAATCTTTCAAATTCTTGTAATGAACTCATTGAGACATCATCATGCTCACCTGACCGTGTAAAAAATTTGCGACCTGCTAAAACATCATAATCAGGAGTGCTACTTAAAGATGCTTTCACACTTCCAAAACTTCCGATGGAATGACTAACTTGACTTCCCATACTTCCAATTTTACTACTGCTCTCTAAATCGTTGATATCTTCCTCTTTGATATCTTCTAGAGGTCCTCTTTCAAATTCTATGTCATAGCCATAGATAGGTGCTACAGGCTCACCTTGAAATTGCATTTCCATCCATTTTTTCCCAGCTTCGACTTCGGGTTTAAAATCTTGCTCTCCTGCCACTGGTGGTGAACTTTCAGTTGATGATGCTTCAACTTTCTCTTCTGAAACTTCTTTCTTTGAAGGGCTTCCAGAATCAAAATCAAATAATATATCTTCTTCATTTCCACCGCTGTAATACTTCAATTTAGTGAGCTTTGTCGTGGTAGTCGGTGGAGAAACTAAAATTTCATCTTCTTCTGGCTGTTTATACGGCCTTGAAATTGGCCTTGCCTGTGAAATTAATATCCCTTTTCCTTCTGTGTCTTGTTCTTCGGCTTCTTTAGCAACTTCTTCTATTATTACAAACTCATCTGCTATGTCCGGTTTTTCTAAAATTTCAAAAGAATCACTAGTTGGAGAATCAGTCATAGATTCATCTTTTGATTCTTGTCTCAAATCAGCACTAGTGTCTTCTGATGGAAATGGTTCATCTGCTAATAATTCTTGATATTTATCTTCTGTAAAAGTAAAACACTTCTCACTACTTACTTCTTGCTTTTCTTTATCTGGTATTGCACTAGAAGGTAAGGGTGTTACAGGCCCTTCCAAATTATCAAAACTATCTTTCAACGTTTGACTTACATGCTGTGTTATTGTAATTCCAGGTACAGGAGAAGATCTCAACTTTGTATCAGTTGGTTCCTCTTTTAAGCTTAGTTCTTGGGTTTCAAGTTCGTGTTTTTCAACTATTGATTTTTCGAAAATAGTTTTGGGCAAAGAGGTATCGGGTAGTCCACTGTGGAAAGCAGCTTCAGCTTCTGTTAATTCTTGTTCATGCTCGACTTGTTCCAAAGATTCATATGGCATCATCCCTTTTTCTCGGATGGGACTAATGTGGGCTTCATATTCACTTGTTCTACTGAAAGCACCAGAGTATTCCATTTCTAATTCTGTCACGCTGGCTTGTGCTTCTGATGAGAATTCTGGTGTATCATCTTTGATTTCACATTCTTCAATTGGTTCAGGTGTTTTGGGTCTTTCTATTGGATCTTCTGTAATAATATCTGTTGAGCATTGTTTTAATAATTCTGCCAATTCTGAATCTGCATGATCGTCTGAGAAAGCTGCTGAAGGAAGTCTTGATTTGCTTACAGAAGCGCTTATATCATAGTCATAACTTTTTATATCGTCATGAACGTAAGTGTCTTCCAAAACAACTCTGCCTTCTCTTATATCTCGATGTAAACCTTGGTCGGCTTCCGTTTGGTAAAACTCTTCTTCTAGGCGTTCTGCTTCATCAATATCCTTCTTTTCTTCTTGAGCGCCTTCTTTTAAAGTCAAAGATTCACTGTATTTATCACTTTCAGCAGTATCTTCTGCAATATCTTCTGATTTCTTTTTTTCTACTTGCCTGGTGTGAAAAACAGGTATCATTGATGGACGAAAACTTGTGCTTCCATTCCTTCGATGACCTCTTTTTTTCACTTCAGGTTCTCCTTCATCATATTCAGGAACATAATCCACTTGTGTAGGCCCATTGCTGTGGGATGTAGTTTTTGAAGTCACTTGAGTACAAACACTTTGTACTCCTTGTTCTACAACGGAAGAAGTAGTAATTGTAACAGATTCGAGCAGATCGGATGACCTTAAGGAAGGAGACTGGGTAGAAACTGATTCCACTTTACTCACAACAGTATCCACTTCTTCTTGTTCTTTAGAATCTGAAATACTGAACGCCTCAGAGGTAGCTGATACAGTTAAACTTAATTGTTCAGATGTACCTGAGCCATCCATTCTTGCAGATTCTGTTTTTGACAGTTCCACGACTGTGTTTAATGCAGTAGTGTCTAAACTGCTTACCAAGCTACTGACATCTTCAATACTTGCCATAAATTTGTCTTCAAGACTTTTATTGATGTCGGTTTCTGCAATGATCGGTCTTGGTTCTGGTTGGAATGTCATTTCATGTGACCTTTTCATGCGTGCTGATGACTCTTGGTCAAGAACAGGCACCTCTTCCTCAGATAAATCTTCTGTTGATATATCAAAGCTAACTGATTGTTCAATTGATTCAGAAAAACTTTGCATCTTTATTTGTTCTTCGACTTTATGAGACTGTTTACCACTTTTCGCCATAACACTTTCACCATCTGTATCTTTTTCAAGTTCCATCGCCGATGGTACTAATGTTTCTGAAGCTTCACTTGAAACTTCTACACTAGCTAAATTACCTGAACTTTCTGAGTCGAGTGATTTCATGGAATCTCTTGAACTAAGAGAACTGACAGCAGTGTGATATTCTTTTGAAGTTATTGTTGTAGAATGACCAGAAATCTCATGGGATATTGCTGACTCGTATTCAGATGAACCTGTCGCACCACTCATATTTGCTACCAAACCCTCTATATCAGATGACAGTGGGCGACTACCAGGCGTTTTTATGCTGTCTGATGTTTGTTCAAAAGATTGATAATGACTTTCACCAGAACTTGAATAAAGTTCACAATCAGATTTCTGATCTTGTTTTACAGTAACGTGTGTTTTTTTGTGTTTTCTTGTTACAAATGAACTACCTATCTCAGCTCCATCAGAGCCAAATTTTTGTTCTGATGATGAGGAGGTAGAGCCACCTTCATCTTGAACAGGCGATCTTCGATCTTCTGGCTTTGTTTCTGAAACAGGAGAATCTGACGAATCTAAAGTATCTGCTGTAAACTTAATTTTTGTATTATCTCGTAATAATTTTTCTGTAGTTTCTGTAACTACGCTTTCTTCAACTTTCATCTCTACATTGCTTTGAACCTCTTGTAAAGTTTTCTGTGTTGTCTTTTCAACTGCTACTTCCTCTGATTTGGAGAGGAATTCTTGTTCTTTATCTTTCACTAAATCTTTAGTTGATTCAGATTCCTTTTCTGTTCTAGATTCTAGGTCTTTGATTAATGATTCATTAATTATTTGAGTTTCAAATGATTGCTTGTATGTTTGTACGGATGACATTTCTTCATGATGACATTCCTGGATAGTTTCATTAAACGTGTTTTCCAGTGAAACAGATTTAAATTCAAATTCTGAAGGAGATTCTTTTGTAATGCTGTCTTTTTTCTTTTTCTTTTCCTCGATCAATTCCTCTTTGACGGCTTCTAATGACTGTTTCACTTCTGCAAGTGTCTTTTCAACTACTTCTTTTCCAAATGGTTCTTGATCTAATTCTTGATTATCTACATCATCACTGCTGTCATTTCCTTCATCCAGCGGTTCTAACCGCCCAGCTTGGCTCTCTAATGGTGAGTTGTCTGTTTCAACCCCACTACTTCTTAAATCTTCATCAGTTATCTCCATACTGGAAGTTGTGGTATCGGTTCTCATCAACTTCATAATCTGATCACTTTTTCTTGAAAGTGGTTCACTTAAGTCTATAGAACTCCTGATCTCTGAGTGTTTTTCTACCATTTCGAAATCGTCTTCAACATTTATTGTTTTTGTGACCCCTTCACAATGTAATAATTTGGATTCAATTTCATCTACAACATTTTCCGCTATTTTACGAGCCTCAGATTCACTCATCACAACTTCTTTAATGCTGGAAATAGTCACACTTTTGCTTTCAGAAGTTGGGAATTGAACTGTTTCTTCTTCCATTGCCTCCACTTCTTCTTGAACAGGAACTTCCCAAACTGTGTCCGGAATATGTTCTTCAGGGGTGTAAACAATCCTTTGTTTTATTGTGTCTTCCGCATCTAAGTTTAATTTTCCATTCTTTTCAGACAATGCCCAATCAGTAATTTCCTGATTTTCTTTGAACCTCGCATCTTCTGGTGTCACGTCTGATTCAGAAAATGTGTCTTCACTTTCTCCCTGGCTGGAAGTGAGTGAGCCAAATTTTTCTTTATCAGACACAGATGGCATCGGCACTCCTGCCTCTTTCAGCCCTTTCATCGTTTTTATCTCTTCGTCTATTTCTTTTTCTTTTTCACTGTCTTCCAATTCACTTTTATCAACATGGACTTCAAGTGAATCTGAAGGCTTAGAAATAGCATCAGCTTTATATTGCAAGGCTTCTTGCACATTTGTACTTAAAGTAGAATCATAAGATTCTTTGTGTTCTTTTACTATTGCACTAATTTCGGTTTTTGAATCATGCATTTCATCTACTTTCTGTATTGAGCTGGAAACAACCTTTTCTACAATTTCTTTATTTTCTGGTATGTGAAATTCAATTTGTTCTTCAAGTTCATTGCTAAATATATCACTATGAATCTGTCGAGATACCATAGCTTGTGCATTTGGAGTTGGTGGTTTTGTTTTTTGTTCAATGGATTTGTGTTCAGGGGATGATTCTTCTTCTAATTGTGCCATTAATTGTTCTACCACCATTTCCTTCTTGATTTGTGCTTCAAAAACCCGTTTCTTTGCTCGTACGTTGCTATTTTCTATTGAGCTATCACAAGGTAAAGAGACTGATCTCTCATAAATTGGTTTTCTGTGTTTTGGCAAAGCTTGAACTTCATCAGTTTCACACAAATTGAACGCATCATTATCATAACTTAATTCCTCTAATTCATGAGCTTTAATGTACTCTATTTCAGAATTATCACCTTCCAGACTTAGCGAGGGTTCCTTAGTAAATCCAGCAACTACTTTTTCAGTAGTTGTGGTACTTTGGACGTTTAAACTATCTTCATCTATATCTGAAGCTTCTAGTTTTCCGGAAGCATCTGAATAGCTTGATTGAACACTTTTCATTACATCTGATGAAACTGTGCTAGACGTTAAGCTTTTTCTAGGTTTGGGTACAGGTGGTGTTTCCTTTTCTGGCATAGTTTCTGTACTGCCGCTAGATATTTGCTCCCAGAACATTTTCTTTGTTGTATACGTTTCATTTTCACTCAGTTCTATGCTAGGGCTTTTTGGAGTTGTGGAAAAATCTTGGGGTTTGACAGGAACTCGGGGTGAAGGAATTGGTGGTATTTCTCCCGACTCTTCTCTCTCCGGTGTATGGCTGCTTTCTAAAAATACGCAAGTGCAAACACAAACACAACAAATATAAGTTAGTCAATTATTAGTGAAATTATTAGCTTGTTATATTAGGTTACTAAAAAGCATAAAAGCCAATGAAAAATTTAATTATTTTAAACAAAATTTTACTTTCAAAGTACCATTATTATTATCAAGTTAACTTCAAAATTAAACATGCTATGGTAGATATCTATTCAACAAGAGGACCTACCCCTAATTTCTAGATTGACACTGATATTAATTAGTAACAGTAAATGTTAATGCTTTCTTCCCGTTTGAATTACCTTCAAGTGAATTATTCTCATCTGAACTTTGAATAATTTGGAGTTTTGAACATTTAGCTTGGGCAAAGTTCATTGGATTATTTGAATTCGCATTTGGGTCTAGGGTGCAGTTTCTTAGAGTTATGGGTGGCCCCATAAAAAGAGTGGTTGGGAGAATGCTTGAAAGATTTGGTTTAAAGATGTCACAAAAGCCTAATCAACACAATATAAATTTTTAAAATATCAATAGTATTTGACAGTCATCGTATGAATAAATAACTTTGCTATTACCACTAACAAATTTCAAGCACTTCACTTAATGGCTAGTATTTGTTTTATTTATTTCGCAAATCAAATTAATACTAATATTTTCATGTTGACCAATAAAAAAAATTATAAACTAATTATTTTTTTATAAAACCTTTAATACCTTGTTGAGATGGGGATATTTCTTCAGAACTAACAGTAATTTCTTTAGAATCAATGTCTGAAGGTGTCAGTCCGCCTGCTTCCCATTGATGAAGTGCTTGGTCTACTTCCTCTAACGACAACTGTGAAACCATTTTCTCAAATTCTCCTTCGGTGTGTACGCTTTCTTTCGGATCAGCTTCTTTTGTCTTAGAAGCCATCCTTTCAAAACACTTTTCTACTTTTTCTACATTTCTGCTTGCTTCACATTTGTCCGCTTCTTTAACTTCTTCTATAGAAGGTTTTTTTTCATCATCGTCATACAAATCAGGGCTGAAACGGATTTTTATGTTTCGTTTTGCTTCCTGTGGTCTTTCGTATGGTTCTGTCACCATGTAGTTTTCTTCTTCGTCACTTTCATACGCGTCTACCAAAAAATCAGTGACAACTCTAACAGTAGGTCTTTCTCCTTGTGATAAACGCTGTGATCCACCGATGCCTGTATTCCTTCTGGTTTGGGTGGGAGTTGTAATATACGGTTTTGTTGGTGAAGTGTCGTCATCACTGTATTCATACTTTTCACTTGTACCATCTTCCTCAACACTAAATGAAATTTCAACATCTTCAGAAACACCCTCATCAATCAGTAGATCTTGATCACTCATATCAGTAAAGTTTGCATCTTTTTTAAATTTTTCTTCAACTTCCTCTTTGACAGTTTCATCTTTTGGTCTTTCAGAAGCAAGCAATTTTTCCGTCAAGTGTTTTGAAACATCTGTAGCTGAATCCTGTTTTGTTTCTTTCTTATCTTCTGCATCTTTCGTTAGAATTTCTTGTTTGATTTCTTTTGAAATTGTCTTTTCTTCGATTCCTTCCCCTGCAATAATGATGGAAATACAAAATTTGTGGCAAATATCGCAATTTTAATTGCTGAAGAATATCAATCATATTAAAAATGAGTACAACTTCCTTTTAACACATATTTTTTTTAATGCATATGACAAACATATTCTTGTTGCTGTGGCTTTTTAAAAGTTTTAGTGTTAAAACTGAGTTAGTATTTTAACAGAAAATTCTATCTCTAAAAAGAAACTTACAAACAAAAACCCATGCAGTGACTTTTATATTTCTTACCATACACACTAACTTCTGGCTCATTTGGCATTGACCAATAACAATATCCAGAGCTTTCTAACTCCATTCCAGGATATGGTACAATGTATTCAATACTGGTTGTCTTATAGTCCAATGGCGTGCTATCACATGAAAAAACACTGTCAACTGATTTGTGTTCCCTTAAGGGCAGGCTCAGTATAGATGGGTGTAGACTTGGCAACGATCGGTTGAACTTTTGAGATGACATGTTTGACTTCTTTTTCACCACAAGAGGGTTGCTTTTGACCAGAATGCTTATTGCTCCTCCACTTTTGTGTCCTACTTCTAATTGAACTTTAGGTTTCTCAACTTCATATTCATCTTCACTTGTACTATACGATTCGACCGGAGAAGGTGTGCAACTGGATTCTCTAAATTGTACAGTATGTAAACCAGTAACTGGACTCTCATTGCCAATCCTTGCGGTTATCATATTCCAACATTTATTTTCCAAATCTGTTTCTTGCTGTGAGTCATTGACCAATTGATGGTTTTGCCGATCTGAATTGACATCATTTAAAAGTTTGGAAATTTGGTTTTCAATCGCATTCAAAGAGTCTACTGCATCCTCTGAATCATTTACTTCTTTTATACCTTCAATCTCCATGGATTGGACTTCTGGATTCCTCAAGTGAGGAAAGTTTGTGTAAAACAATTCTTCTTCTACTTTTATGTCATTCAACATATGATCAATTGTCTCTTCTAACTTTTTCAATTCCAAATTTTCAAAAGAGTAAGTTGGCGATGTATCTGATTTTACCTGGTCTGTAGATGGATCATTCGCTGTGAGATAATTTTGAAGGCTGTCGATTGAACTCAATTTCAAACAAAAGTCAGAATCTATCGAATCGGCACTGTCATTGCTTTTCTGCTTATGAAGCATTAACGGGACTTTGTCAATTTGCTCACTCATTTTATAAAGTATACCACAAGTCTCGGTGCCTTTAATTGTAGAAACGGAGTCGTCCGGAGATTCCGTCTCCGAGTCAGATAACGAAAATAAAAGTTCGCTGAAACTTTCCGTCCCTGTGTCAAAAGCCAGGCTAATCGTCGACTCTGCTGAACCTTCGTTTTGAAAGATTAATTCATTCTCGATCTCTGAATAACCAAGTTGCGGTGGGTAAACTGACTCTTCTTGAAGTTCGGTATATAAAATACCATTAAGGTTGTCATAAGAACTTTGACAACTCGCTTTGGGACAACTAATTATTTCATCCGGATTCCTAGCCATATCTTAAAAAGAAATAACAATGATATATCTTTATGAAAAAGATATAAATGATAGATTTAATCTAATCAATAAACAAAGTTATTATTGAAAGTTCATATTCAAAGGATTGCCAGCAACAAGAATATGATTTTATCATAAGTCTTTGTCAACAATGATACTTTCTATAACCTGATTATTTTAACTTACCTAAAATTTTAAACTAATTTTAAATATATTATAAACCAGGAATAACATCAATAAACATAAATAAAAGAAATGGGTTAAAAATAGCATATTATCAAAAGCTAAGAAGTAGGCAAGGGATGTCACTATTACACACATTTTATTATAACTACTTTGAAAATGAAACTCTAAAAAATGTCATGCAAAATATCATGTTTAATATATATATTTTTTAGTTTATCTCGTATACATTTTGAGCATAGAAGATTTTGTTTTTAAAAGACAATTAACTTGCCATTCACATAGGGATTCAAAGTCAGAAAAAAACAGTTAAGAATATAAAATCTAGGTATTACACATTAAATCATTTTTTTAAATAAATCACATTTAAGCAATCAGTGCTTGAAAAGTTAGATATAATAGCAAATATTAATTTAATACCTAGAAGATGAAACAACACATCATACATAAATCCATGTTATACACACAAGTAAACAACCTCTTTCTTCTCACATTTATTTTAATAGATAATCTGTTAAATTATTTGTGGTCTGTTTTGAGGCATTTTGTTTTGCACTATGAGTGGATTAACAAATAGAAAAAAACAACTTAGTTGAGTGATAATGCATGAAAAAAAAAGTAACTACAAAACACAGAACTTAAAAGAAAATTGTGACGAAAATGGAAAAGAATATTGAATACAAACTGACATCAATTGTATAAAATATTCAAACGATGAAACGAAGTAGCTATGAAATGAAAAGCAGTGAGAAAATGAATAGAAATAGAAAAATGTTCACATTTAATTAAATAAAGTAATTAAAATCTCTGATGAAAAAATTGGGAAATTTAAACAAGCAAAAAAAGTTCTGCTAATGAAGTAGATTAGAAGCAAGAAAAATATTCATGCACATGATTCCTGGCTTACACTTATTTAAAACCAACGTTTTACCATTTACTGTTGCAAATTTACTATTCCCACAATCATTTAAACCATTTAAAACAAAAATGTTAAATTTTTATTAAACATTTACTTATGATTGTCAAGCAGTGGGAAAATACAAGAATCATAGGTGATTTATCACATTTATAACTGTAAATTTATCAGAATGTAGGGTAATTTTAAAAGTACTTTTGTAACTTTGCTTTAAAATTTCAAAAAATATTGGTCCCTTTTAATTTTAAAAATATTTTTTTCTCCACATTATACTGACATTTATAAGATTTAAAATATTAATTTACTTCAAACATTCTGTACTTAAAAACTAATTTTAATCATTTTGTAGAAAATTAAAATTTGTGAGAAATAAGTTTAAAATACAGAATCCATGAAGTTGACAGAGTAATTCAATAAGTGAAGTTGTGAAAATTAAATAAAATTTTTTATGGCGTGTCTTTTTAATTGTGGTTTATTTTTTAAAACTTACTAAGAATTTTTTTGGGATCTATTGCTTCTTTGGTCGTTTCTGTTGTGTGTCGCTCCCCTGAAATAATACTTTTGATTAGTCCAAAACAAATAAAACAATTATTTCCTAGGACTAAACAAATAATAAACAACAGTACAAGCTTTCATAGTACTTCAATGCAGCTAGGTAAAGGTAGATAAAGGATATGCATAAAAAAAAGGTAATTTTAAAATGCACCTACAAGCACAAGTCAATTGCATTCATTCTAATGTATGAAGACTCAAAATTTCTTGGGTACCTAACTAAAAAATTAGAACATTATGATATAAAAGAAATATTTTCAACTGTACGGGTTCAAATGTACACAGTAAAAGTTTAATTTACCGCCTCTTCCTTGGTTCTTCATACATCTCGGCTTCCATTTATACGAAGAACAACTTTTCGGACCGGTAAAGCAAATTTTAATGGATGATCCGTCAAAATTAGATCTTTTGCAGTGAGTTCTGGATTTTGAATTTCCTTTCATTTCGGCTATTAAAATTTCCTCCACATCGGTTAAAGGTTCCGGATAGGTGTTTCCTTTAATGTAAGCCAATTCTTCACCTTCCATTTCAAATTTTCTGGTATGCTTTATGTGTATAACTGAATTATGATCCTCTAGTTTTTCATCCTCTGATGAATTGTATGACTCAACATTATCGTCTTGGGAGCAGATAATGTCTTCAGTATCTGTGGTATGGGGAATTGGACTTGGCGATATTCCTACAACTCTTGGGATTTTTTTGTTTACACTTTGTTCTACAATTTTTGAAAACGGGTTTAAACCTTCTTTTGACATAACGTAAGTATTACTGTTCAAAATTTCTGGTGACCTGGGTTTGCCCCAACAATCATCTTCAGTTTCGTCACCAGAAAAATCATCTATATCAGTGGTAGGAGGTAGATTTGTCATTGTTTGAGGTGCATTATTTAAACATTCTATGTCATTTTCATTCAAATCTTCAATATCAGTTGCACAGTCACTTATTTTGGTACTTAAATTTTGATTATCTCCTTGTTTTATATTAAACATACGCTTAGGATTGGATAGATCAATTTCTTCAGTGTCTGTAAGTGGATCCTTTGCCTCATTTTTTATCTGAAGTTTGGAGTTGTCAATAAGATTTTCTTGATTTTTTATTACTGAACTTTCTGTTCTTGGTAACTCTGGAGTCGGATATCGCACATAATCTTCCAATTCAAATCCAGGAAGATCTTCGACATCAGAGTATCCACAGTCATACTCCTCTACCATTAGTGTTTTATATTTATCTGATTCTTTGATCGGCATAATCATAGATACACCACATTTATTGTTTTCATTGCTAAGAACTAGTTCGCATTTACTGACAGGTAAGAAGTCGACTGCTTTGGACTCCTGTTCCTGCTCCAAATTATCTTCGTCACTTTCAAATGCCTCAATGTCAGTCGCATAGCCATGAGTGTCAGCTTGGATGTTTAAAACATCTCGTTTAAATTTATTACCAAAGTTGCAAGTTCTTTTATGAATATCTGTGTTTTGTACACCTTGCCCTCTTAGCTTTGGTTTAGAATAACTTAGGTTTTTACAATTACCGGAATTTTTGTTTCTTTGAGTTACAATTTGTCTCGGATTGTCATTTCTGCTTGGAAAATTTGAACAGTCACTTTCAAGAAATTCAGTATCAGTCGGGGCTTCTTGCTGTGACTGAGGTTTGATAGCCAAGACTTGTTTTGTTTTTACATTCGTCGGCGATTTAATGTTTTTATGTGATGGTTCTAAGTCTTTTAATTTTTTATAAGACCATTTGTATCTGGCTTGATTATAAATTGAATCTGAATCATCACTGTCAGTAGAAGATCTATTTAAGAATTTATTATGTCCAAATTTTTTGAACCGATTTGTATTTTTTTCAATATCAGATAATATTTCAGTATCTGTTTTGTAGTCTACATCAAATCCATTGACTTTCAGCTTATTGACAGAGTGTTTATTTTTATCAGTTTGATAGTTCTTTGGCTCAGGAGTCACAACAGGGGAATATTTTGTCGGGGAAATAGTTCTTTCTGACACTGAAATGTCATAAGCGTTGTCATCAGAGCAATAGTATTCATTTGATTCGTTCAAGAGTTGTGCATCTTCAACATCATCTTCTGACATCAGATGGCCTTCGATGTCTGTTCCATCATTACTATACTTAAAATCATATTTAACATGAGGCTTGAATCTTTCTAATGAACATGTCACAGATCTTTGAGACTTATTCGGCATTTCGGAATTCAATACTTCCTCACTATTCATGCCAATGTCTAATATTGAATTTATAACATCTTTTGGATAATCTTGTGTCGAGTTTTCTTCATCACTCGACAAATCTAGATCTGTCATATAAACTTGATCTTTCTTTTTCTGTAAAAAGCTGTCAATAAATTCACAGTCAGTGGCACCTTCTGACGGAACATCAGATAAAGGATCATTATTTACTGAGTTGGAGTCATATGATGTTACATTTATCTCAGGTATAGATTTCGACATTTTGTTGTTTGATACGCCTTAAAAAAAAAAAAAAAAAAAAAAAAATCTATAAAGAAATTGTTTTATTTATTTACATCCCTTTTTACTGGCCAATGATAAAATAATTAGTTATTTTGGTTATTACAAATTGCTAAATTTGAACATAATTATAAAAAATTAGAATTTTTTTAAAAACCTTGATGAACCATTATTTGATTTTATTATAACTTAAGGGTTTCACATATGTATGAATTAAGCTAATAGTTATAATTTTTAAATAATCTGGTGGTAAAATCTATTTCTAGTGTTCCTGTGATGTCTATTGCAACCGAAACTTAATAACAAAAAATTTTTTTTATGCAATACAAAATATAATGTACTACTCATCAATAGTAGTACGTTTTGTTTTATATGAAAAAGTATTTAGTTAAATTTTACATACAATAATTGCAGTAGAAACAATTGACACAAATTGCATATTTGCATGTAAAATATTGATTTTAAGTTCGCTACCACATGCATCTACAGGAAATTGATATATCTGAAAAAGTGTTTTCTAAATGCAATATATGCAGTTGATTTCTAAGTTTGATGTGGATATTTTAATACCTCCAATAGAAGCGGCATGCTGTTAACAGTTGCTTCCTGAGGTGACTGGTCCAAAGGGGTTGGATTACCTGCTTCAAAAGAGATATCTTCTTCGGTTCCTTCTGAAGGCATCCTCTGCCTTGAAGAAGGCCTGATAGACATCACATCAAGGATTGGTGACAGTCTCTCCTCTGATACCCTCCTTGGACCTTTTCCACATCTTTCTAGCATAGTTGGACTAGACTTATGTTTAATTAGAGAGTAGTCGACATCGCTGCTTGAGCTTTCAACCTCAGAACCTGATCTTAGTTTGGGGCTCATATTGTCTTGTGTTCTCTTGATGAATTTAGGCGAAACAGGGGATCCAGTCAGTCGATGTCTCGAATCTAAACTAATATCATGTTCAGATGATGATAATGGAAGTGCTACAGAGTCTGATAATGAGGAATCTGTAGTGTCAACAAGTGAAAGCTCATTTTCATATTTAATTAATTTTCTAAGGGATTCTGGTTGTTTGAAAACAATTTCAATACCACCTGAAGAATCTACAGTCCTCGTAAAAACTTCGGATGTAAGCATTTGTACACTACCTGACTGCACTTTAGATCTCATTCTACTGGGGCTGGAAGGAAGTGAGACAGGTCCTTGCCTTCTTTCTAAGCTAGAATGCCTTCTTTTAGATTTTGATGTAAAGTCTGCACCACTTCTCCGTCTTCCTTGAGCACTCATCGATCTCTCATGATCACCGTAAGTAACCGCTGAGGGTGCAGATGCTGCTCGTTTTACATTATCAGAAGTTTCCTCTGAAGTGTGAGCTTCAGAAGTTATTTCCAAGGATGTACTTTGTAATGAAGAATGAGATTTTGCACTAAGTCTTTCAACTTCGTCTACAGCTTGAAATATTTCTTGTTTACAGTCAAAATCAAAAATGGGAAGTTTTGAATCTTCTACTTGAGCAGTTTGGACTTCTTGTTTGACTATTTTTGTGAATTTATGTGTTTTAGATTTTTTATCTTGAATGGTACTAACATTTGCAATTTGCGTCTTTTTTATACTCTTACTTTCTAATTTTTCTACTTTCTTTTCTGCAATCAACTTACTTTGAGAGGGATGGGATGAAGGCGCAGGTTGTGTGGCTTTTAATTGAGATTTAGGACTTCTGTAAAGAGTTGTGGTGCTAGTTTGTCGCAGCTTACTTTCTTTTGGCTCTTTTGGTGCAATAGCTTTTAAAGTATCAGTTTGTTTTGGAATTTGTTTAGGTTTGCTAGAAGATTTTTGTTTATATGGTCTAGTTTCTTTATTGATTTTTTTTTCTGGTGTTCCTATGACTGATGAACTGGCTGACGAAGACACCATACTTTTTCGAGATATACTGGAATCACTTCTTCTATCTTTAAGGGTACTCTCCACTTTTATGTCACGAGATAATGTTGAAGCCATGTAACCTTTGTAGCGAGTAGTTTTTGATGTTGAGGATGTGGTCATCGCAGACACAGATGCTGAAGATGATTTTACTGCAGAGGTGACAGTTGCAGATTTTGTTAGTTTCGTTGAGGATGTAGAGGATGATGATGACAATTTTGGCTGTCGTACAGTAGTTCCTCTTTTATTTGTTTGACTTTGAGAAGTTGTAGATATTTGTCTTTCAGTTGTACCTTGCTTTTTCACTGATTCATTTTTTGAAGAAACTTTGCCGACTGATTTGACATCCTTCTTTGGATGAGTAGATTTATAAGGAACTTGACTAGTAATTTGCTTTTTAGAAGCTGTGATTTCAGCGTGGGAAAGTGAGGATTTTTTAACAATAGTAGATGTAGAGGTCAATCCAGAATACCTAGATTTATATATTACCTTGTCCGTTACAATTGGCTTTGCATCAATTTTTCGTGCAACTGGAGATGATGGTATTTTTGAGCTTTGTTTTAACTGAGATTTTTTAAGACCAGATTTTGTAGTT